GAAGACCCCGAGTGTAATGCCATGGTGAGGACACGGCACCGGCCCTCCCCAAGCTTTCGAGTTTGCAGTCTCAAGTCCTGCAAATCTTAAAATGGAAAGGCGAGGCTACTCCGGCTTCAAAGAACCACCCTCGAGTCCATGTGTGGAGACGTCAGGGTGTTAGAAGGGCTGAAACACAATGAAAGGTGGCATGGGTACAGGGTGCAGAAGCTGCTGCTGCTCCTTCAGAATGAGAGAGGCGGAGTGGGCATGGAGCTGGGAGGGGAGGAATGAGGCCCTCAGGCCTGACAGCTCAGAGGGAAGACTGAGCCTGTTGGCGATGCCTCACCTTTTAAGCCCAAGTATCCCTTCAATCCCATAGGCCCTTCATCTCCTTTCTCCCCCTTCATGTTTTTCATTCCTGGCAGGATCTCGGGAGGTAATCCTGGAGGGCCGGGGTCCCCTCGGTTTCCTGGAAGAGAGCAGAATGTAGCCATTTCCCTTGAGCTCTGGATCAGGTATAAGAACACAGGTGGAGAAAGCCTCTCAGCTGCTGCTGTCACCCAAATCCCGAGCCCCGAGAGGCTCTGAGCTGGGGGACAGTACAGGTCCCTTGACCTAGAAGACTGTGTTCTGGAGATGAGGCTCTCTGAGAGACATAATGCCTGTCATCTCTCCCCTCCCCAACCCTTCTCTAAGTGGAGGTGTGGGCACAGAGCACGTTGAGATGGAAGGACCTGCTCCCCCCATCAGTGCTGCCAAGACAACACAGGGATGAGTATGATGGGGTAACACAGAACAGGAGGAATGTTATTTATTTGCACTTTGATGAGAGAGTGCTCAAACTTGATCATGAGCAGAAAGTATCAAATGAGGAAGGATGCCAGCTCAATCTTCTTCCTGCAGGCAGCAGCTAAGCCTCAGAATTCATGAAGGGTCAGCCAGAGCTGGGGAGGTCACAGAAATCAACTGATGGGATGTTGCAAGGGAGCTTCTAAGGAGTTAATAAACTGGAAGGCAGTGGGGCTTGGAGCTTGGGAGGCTGTGGGTGAGTCAGAGGATTGTGCTATAAGGTTCAGGCTGAGAGTGTTCCAGAATCTGTTCGTTGGATGAGAGGACAGCTGGTAAGTGAGATCTGGCTGAACGAAAAGAATTTAGTTTCAGTCATTGAACATTTATTGAATATTTAGTGCTGGGCTAGATATTGAGGGGAACAAAACCATAAATCGTTTCTGTCCTTGAAGGAACAGACACCACCAAGGTCAACGTCATCCCAAGGAGGCTGGAGTAAAGGTGTAGTGCAGCCAAGAAGAAAATGGTGTAGAATCCCAGTGTAACTTCATTTAAAATTTAATTTAAAAATATTATTTTTTGCTCAATGGCCTGTAAACCCTAGGTTAAAAGGAAGATTATTTAAACATGTAAGTGTGAGGAGAAAGCTTATAAAAAGTAGCTCCCTAGACTGCAAATTCTATTTTTCTAAGAAGTTGCAGAAGTTATAACTCTTTGGGGAGTAATTCAGTTTTTTGAAAAACAGCTTGAATGAGATATAATTTATATACCATGCAAGTCACTCATTTAAAGAGAACAATTCAGTGATTTTGGGTGTATTCAGAGTTGTGCAACTCTCACTGCAATCTTTAGAGCCTTTTCCTCGCTCCAGAAAGAAATCCTGTGCCATTAGCAGTCACTCCC